TGAAAACCAGCTGCTGCCCCTGGCCCCTGTCTCCAGCACCCAGGCCTCCCTGCCGGCCCCCCCCATGCCACCTTCTCCAGCTCCCTTGCAGGTTCGCCCCACGCCGCAGCTTGCCGCGTAGCGGCTTCTGTCCATTTTTCTTGGTTTTCCTTCTCCAGAGCACTAGCACCGTCTGATATGGCCTAGATCTGCTTCCCCCAGTAGGAACGAGAGCAGGTATTTCCTTGTCTGTTATGCTCATCGCTTTATCCCCAGGTTTAAAGTAGGGCTTTATACAACAGATACTCAAGCGGTTAGTAAAAGTGAACTTTGGAATCAGACTGTTGTCTCAGCTCAACAAATAGGCCAGCGGAGTAATACTGGGCAGGTTATTTAACCTCTCTGAGCCTCAGCCACCTAGTAAGTGGGCCTAACATCATAGCCTCCCAAGGGAGCAGGCGCAAGGGAGGGTGGGCTGGCTGGCTGCTCTGCAGGGGTGGCTGGTCCATCTGGAGCAGGGACCCCAACAGTGCTCATTCAGCCAGGGGCTAGACTGGACCCAGGTGGCGGGCCCCCTCCCGTCTGACTACCTTGTCCAGCTCCTAGCCACCAGCCTCATGCGAGCCAGGACATGCTGGAGACACAGGGAGAGGAAAGAGTAAGACCTAGGAGGCCAGCCAGAGGCTGGAGTTCCAGTAGACTCAGACTGTGTCCCCTGGAGCAGACGGAGACTGGCACTGCCCTCTCCAGTCCTCCTCTTTAGGAGATTCTTGGTGGTAGGCAGAAGAGAGCTGCAACCCAGGCCTGACAACGTGCCTGCCAGTCACCCACAGAAGCCAAGGCAGGCTGGAGCCACGACCTGTGTGCTCAGACGCCCGTTAGCAGGAAAGTTGAGGGTTTCAGGGAATTGCCAGAATGCTTCCCAAAACTGGGAGAGAGGTGCAGAGAAGGAAGGGCCCCTGGACACTCAGCCTGCAGCCTTTACTTCCCACACCTGACAGACCAGGGCTCTGTGATCTCAGTGAGCAGCCTGCGCTCTGAGCCTGTGCACCTGCTCAGACTCCTTCACCTGGTACCAGGCCCCAAGAGGCCTGACGAGCCTCCCATGGTGAGTTAGCAGCAGAACCAAGCTTAAAATCAAACTCCCACTTTTGTGTTTTCACTCTCCCTGCAGGGCCTCTCTGCCTGTGGGGTGGAAGCTGCACCCTCCAGGTCGTCCACAGACTCTGCACCGCCCAGAGCCCTAGGCCTCCATCCTGGCCGTGCAGCCCCATCTCGGGGCCACTCTCCCTAGCTGTGCAGTCTTGGGCCCAGCTCCTCATCTGTCCAGAAAAGATCATCACTGAACCTCTCCCAGAGGGGTATGAAGAGTGTCACTCCATATCCTGGCACTGTTGTTATTTCTAGACCTTTCACACTTCCAGTTGGAGGCCAGTTTGGCCTAGTTCCCCAATCCCACCAGGGGCTGCTGGAGCACAGGCTGGTAGAGGCCCTGCCTGGGCGGTGCTGGGGCCACAAGCCAGGCCTCACCCCCAGGGGGCTGCAGCTGATCATGACCAGCAGGGGGCACCATAGGCTTTGCAGCAGTGCCAGAAGAGGTGGCAGGTAGGGAAAGGAGAAAGGCCCCTCAGTGAGACCCAGAAGCCTGGGAATAGCCTGGGGGCAGCCTGGGGGCAGGGAGCTGGAAAGAGGTGTGAAAGGGAGCCTGGAACTGGGGCCTTAAGGTGGGCACCTGTTGTTTTTCCCTCCAACAGCACCCCCAGCTCTTCTACCCTCCTCCATGTCTTCAGAACTCCCTGACAGGCCCAGGACCCGGCCCTGCATGAGAGATATTTTCTTCCCCACCCCCTTCCCCCTTTCACCCATTTTGGCCCTCAGCTGGGTCTTCTGGAGATGGGACTTGGACCATCGACGTCCCTGAGAGACACTTCAGTGGGCAGGACCCTGGAAGGCCCTGGGTGGAACAGGGGGTCCTCCCAGGGCTGGCCCTGACCCAGTCTGATGCAATCTCCCGTAGCTGCCAGGGCAGGTGGTGGCCTTACTTCTCCTGGGTGGGACCTTCCCTTCCTTCCTGTCTCCCAGTGGGATCCTGAAAAGTGGGGAAGGGCAGGGGAGAGCAGAGCGGGGCCCCACGTGCAGAGTGCTACCTCCCTTCTTCCTGGGTCGAAAGGGAGCGTCCCCTGCGGGTCACAGAGTGGCTCAGGCCCACCCACAGTGGAGCTGCCTGGGCTCTCGTGGCCTGGCGATGACCTAGGGTCCATCCATCCCGGACAAAGGCCCAGGACCAAGGCTGAGTGGATGGGGCTGGCAGCAGAAACCAAGGCAGCCTGTCCTGGGGCTCAGGCCCCAAGCTTGAATTAGGCCACCTGGCAAGAGTCCTCCCTGACAGATGGTGTGGGGGCTCCTCTCTCCACCTTGGCCCAGCATGTCTGGGAGCTGGGGGGGCTGGCAGGAGGGAGGTGCCTGGTACTGCTCAGCTGCTGACAGCACTGTTATTCTCCTGGGACACAGTGTCCTGGGGGAGGTGCCTGGATGTGGGGCACAGGCTAGGCCCAGGCTCGGGGAGGGTGCAGTCCCCAAGGGCATGGGGACAGATCTCCTCAGCAGTTTGCTGCAGTCAACACTGCAGGACAGCCTGGCTGTGGGGAGGGCTCCTCCCTGGCACCACCACTGTCTCTGCCTGCGGATGCAGCCTGATCCCCCAACCTCCCCTTGGAGTAACCTTCCCCCTATACAGCTAAGGTGCCTGTGCTCCTGAGCCACCTGCACCCCACCCCAGACAGAGGGCCTAAACCCCCAGAAAGCCCACCCCTGGCCCTCTGTCCCCTTCCCTCATTCCATGAATAGTTCACACAGCAGAGAACTGTTCTGCAGTCTTGAGGGCTGGGGGTGCCCTCAGGGGGTTAGACTGGGTAGCATAGGAGGTGCCCGAGTGCCCACCTGCCTTCTGGCTGGACCCCCTTCAGAGGCTGGCTCAGCTCGTGCCAGGGGCCGTGGGCTTGGGAAGCCTGCAGCTGGCCCTCACCATCCTGCTGTCCCGCCCCTCTTTGCCAGGACATTCACTGCAGTCGCCAAGCCTGGGCAGACGTGGCTTTATGCCTGAGCAGAATGCACTGGGCAGAGTGGGCCTTGGCAGCAGCGGTTGTGGGAACAGCAGGGCCTGGGAATGCTTGGGCCCCTCTGCTGCTTGGCTTGTGGGAGAGGACAGCCCTCGGTTCTGCTGAGCTGACTGTTCTCAAACACTTTCCTGAGCCGTTTTTGTTGATTTAATATTTAGGGAGTTGGCTCATCCTGGTGGCACCAGGCCCCACCAAGCTCTCTGAGCAGCCCTGAAAGCCAGGTACGGTTCAGGGCGTCCCTGCCCCCTCCTGAGGATTCCCTGTGAGATTGACATGCTGTGCCCCCCATGAAGGTGGGAGACCAGATTGGCAAGGGCCAACCAGGCTACATCATGACAGTGGCCAGAGGTGAGGCAGGGCAGGGGGTGGGGTGGGACCAGGCTGCGGGGTGGGCGTGTTCCCCTGATATCACAAGTGCAAGGTGGGGCCTTGTGGTTTCCTGGGGTCTGCAGCTCTTGGTTCCACCACTAACCTCCGCCTGGCTTCACCCAGGGTGTTTCTCCCAGGAGCAACCTATTCCAGAGCCAGGAGCAGCTCGCTTTCCCCGCCAGCTGCCCCGGGCCCCTGGCACAGTGCACCGGGTGCAGGGCGCGCTCGTGGGGGACTTCCCCACCTCCAGGCCTAGGGTGGGGGCTGGCTCAGCAGCCCAGGTAAGTGCCTGCTGCTTCCCCTGGCAGCGGCACCTGCCCGCCCCCCTCTCCTGCGTCAGGGGAGCTGTCTGCGCTTGCACCCAGCTTCCCAAGCGATGAGACACAGCTCCCTGCCTGCCTCCCCAAGCCACTGGCAGCTCACACCCTGTCATCTGGGCAGCCACCGCAACCCAGACTGCTCCCCAGAGCCCCTCACTGCAGATGACCGTGGCCATCCCCATCTTCCCCAGCCACCCCGGGAAGGGGACGTGGCATGGTCCTGCCTAAGGACGGTAGTCAGTGGACTGAGGAATGAAGCTGCAGGCAGCCAAATCCTCCCCCTGTAGCTCTGGACACTTGTTCCAGCCTCTCACCTGCCCCGAGGGTAGGGCCGGGAGCCCAGCGGGACCAAGAGTGAGCTAGCCAGCAGGGCCGGGCCAGGTTCTGGTAAAGTTGCGCTCGCATGGGTGTGTCCGGCCTTGGCTTCTGGGCAGAGAATCCATCTTGTCACTCCCAGGGCTCCTGCTCGGCCTGGAGCCCCACCCTCGGCGCGTCCTGGCTTCCCAGGCTGCATCTGTGAGAAGGCGCGTCCCTGTCTGCTGGCCCTGTTCCTCTCCCGCCCTCCGAGCCTGTCTCTCCCCATCTCTTGTTTTCAGCCCTCGTGTTTTACATACGACACAATGCAGACGTTCCCTGTACATTTTGATGAGTTTTGATAAATGTGAGCAAGAGCACATTCCCAGGCCCATGACAGCCCCTCCCTGAGGCCAGCAACCTGCAGGCAGGGGCGTTCACTGTCCTTCTGTCCTGCGCCAGGCGCCTCCCGGGACCAGCAAGGAGGGGAGCTGAGTATGCTGCCCCTTCCAGGGGCATTGCCAGCTGAGCCTTGATTTTGGCACTGCCCAAGGAAGATCACCTCTCTGGCTTGGGAGATGCCCCTGGCATGTACATGGACACACGTGTGCATACACATACATACATACACACACACACATACACACACACACAGAGGCTCCAGAGCTAGCATCAGCCCCCGGTAACCTTCAGAGCTTCGGCTTCAGTGGGGGGCCCTGCACCTCATTCCCTCTGATTTGGTGTAAGGTCTTTGTTTCCCCAGTCTATAAAGCAGGGAAGTTAAAAAGAAGTCACTTGAAACTTTCAGGGCATCCCCACTTTCTTTTCTAACAGTGAGATTTGAAACCCTCATATATAAGGCAGATAAAGTGAGGCCACGAGGGGCCCAGAAGTTTGACAGGCCGGACAGCCATTGCCCTTCCCCGGGTCCCGGAGATCCCTGGGTTCCATGGCGAGAGGGCCCTGCTCCGAGTAGCCCACGGATCCTGGGCTCTGCTGGACACCTTGAGTTACCCCTGAATGTGTATGAAGGAGCAATGGCAGACGGCGTCCCTGGGGAGTGGGGTGACCAACTGCCGTGTCTGCAGGAGCGCCAAGCCTCGGCTGTGGCTTGGTTTAATTCTCGAGAATATTCCAGAGAGGGCTGATATCGCCCCCTTTGACAGCTGTGGATGTGTTGCTAGGTGGACCCCCTGCTCAGGGTGCAGCAGGGTGTGGTGGGGGGGTCCAGCAGGGTGGGAGAATGCTGGGCTAGGGGATGTGTGTGTGCTAAGGGAGAAGAGCGCCACCCTGTAGCACTCAGCAAACACACAGGGCATGGACAGGGGGTCGCGGCAGGAAGGGAGTGGCCCTTGCCCAGCGATGGCCATCATCGGAAGTTTGACTGCGGTGCTTTCCCTCCACAGGGCAGCAGGAGGTGGCCTTAGGCTTCCTCCAGGCCTTCTGTGATCAAGTAGACCAGCCCCTCCCTGGGGCAGGGCTGAGTGTGGCTGTGGAGGGGCAGTGGGTCGGGCCTAGGGTCCCACTGGCCGAGGACACAGTGAGTGGCAGATGGGAAGCAGAGGGCTGGATTCCGTGCCCAGCTGCTGGTTGGGCAAGACCTGGCCACAGGAGAGGGCCGCTCAGCCTCCCTGGAAGTCTGGCTCTCCAGCCCTTTCAGACTCTGTGAAGCGTCCCAAGTACCAAGGAAGTATGCCTCTGTCCAGCCACACGGGAGCTCTGTGAGGCCCTTACCCTGGCCCACTTACTGCCTGCCCCAGGCCTGTCACTGGGCTGCCCCAGTGAATATGTGTTGAAAGAAGCCGTGAGGAGCTGGATCTCACGTCCCCAAGGTCCCTGGGGCTAGAGATCCAGAAGGACTTCTTTCTGTCCCTTTTTCCTCTTCCTTCCCCAGGTAAGGAACCTGCTGAGAACAGAAATGGGAAGAAGAGAGCCCCGTTAGGTAGGAGCCTCCCCATTTAGCCCAGAGCTGCCCCCCTTGAGGGGAGTGGGGGGAAGCAGGGCAGGACCCGGGGGTTTGGGGAATGGAGGACAGACTGCAGGAGTGGGGCCAGGGAGTCTCGCTCACAAGGGGCCCTCCCTGGGCAGCCTCCAGGAGCCACCAGGTGGGTCAGCTCCCCAGCTGGGGATCAAACTCGCATGGCAGTGGCTGCAGATAGCTTCAGAGTGCTGAGATTTAACCCCTCGCACCACCAGGGAGGGCCTGCAATGATAATATTCTGCACAAACTAGGCTAAGTTAACAGTGTCATTAAACAGAATTTGGCCTCTTTTTACTATTGTCAACACACTCGCTTGGACATTGGAAGTGGCATGTGTGGCTTCATGCTCTCTGTGTTGGACAGCGTGATCTCCATGCGTCTCTTGTTGGTGGCTTTCCCACTCTGGAGCTCCAGGACACTGGCCGGGGGCAGCCAGGCCTGCCTTCCTGAGTGTCTGACCTCGGGGCCTGTGAGCAGTGTCAGATGGCAGGGTCAGAGGCCTCGCAGGGCTACCACACTCACTGTCAGTTATGGCTCAGGAAGAATTACACCTGCCGACCAGAGCCAGACCTTGCAGGGAACAGGGCTGGGAAGGGCCAGGAGACACGGCCCTAATGAATGGGGCTGGCAGGAAGGGGCTCGTGCGGGCCCATTCATGCCCAGGACAGAGGTGTGGGGTAGATAACATGTCCACTTACGGTTGAAGATGCAGAGCTTCAGAGGGGTTAACCAAGCCGCCTGGGTCACGTGGCTAGTAAATGGCATTAGCCATGATTCAGGGAGAATTTATTGGACTTTGCAGCCTGTACTCCTAACCTCTGTCTTAGCCCCTGAGGAAGCTTCAGAGTTGTGGAGGCGAGAGTGGGTTTGGGAATTCCATCCACCGGGAGGGATGGTGAGTCTCAAGGGTCAGAGGGATGATGCCTGTGGGACCCACATTCTTGAAAGTCACCCCAAGTCCCTCTGTGCACCTGGACCATTTACGGTGGAAGTTTGACTGACTTGGCCAAGGTTACTCTGGGGAGTGATGGGCTGGGTTCCTGGGCTAGGACCCTGACAGTCCCCTTCAGGCCCAGTTTCATCTGGGCCAGTGAAGGTCAGACAACAAGGCAGCTGGTCGTGGGTCCCCAGGCCCTGGGCCCTGGGGAAGATGAGAAGCCGACACCATTTTATTGCCACTTGCTATATAATTAATGACTTAATGACCTTTGGGGAGGCAAAGGTCAGGGGAGCATTTATGGCCTCAGCGAGCATGACCCCTGATAACTGCGGCTCTGTGCCCTCCACGCCCGAGGGGGTGCAGTCACCATGCCAGCCTCTGCTGTGGCCGGAATTCTGGGCCTTGTGCTGCCTGTCACCACGAGTGCCAATAAGCAGAGACGGAAACTGAATTTTTAAGGTGTGCTGCATGAAGACCAGCAATTCTGAGAAGGCAGGGGTTAAGAACCTAAAGAAACTACCTTCACAAGTCATTTTGAGCTGGACTTTTATAGTGAGTTAAACAAAGATAATCACTCATCATCAGTAAGCAGGGCTTCATCCCCGCCAGAAGCCTGTGATGCCCAGCCCTGGGCCTCCTTGTCACTTCCTGGATATCTGGCCTACAGCGTGTCCCAGTTTGTTGAGTCCAGTCTTCTGATAGTGCTGGTTCCCAGGATCCTTCAGACTCATCCTTGGGCTGAAACGTGAACTCCAGATAGACAGGCCACAAGCAATGTGGGTGCCGTGCCCACCCCTGCCCGCTAGTGCCTGTCATTGTCTGCTTAGCAGCTTTAAGCCTCTGGGCCCCTTCTCTCGTGAATGTAGGGATCCCCATGAGGCCCTGCAGCCAAGCCAAGTTGTGCCCAGTGCTGCTGGGAGCCAGCCAGCACCCAGGACCCAGCAGGTCACGGCACAGAAGGTACCATCACAAGTGACCCTGTGAGAGTCACTGCTGCTGCCCTCCCAGGGCTTCTGCTGACTCTACCAGCCACCACCCCCACCCCCAACCTCAGCACCCTTGTAGGGGACTCCTGCCTCCACCAGGGCCATGCTCCTCTCAGTGCTCTGCTCAAGTCCTGTCACATGACCTTCCCTGGCTTCCCCTTTCTGGCCTCATTTCCTCATCCATCACATGGACGTGACATCCTCCACTCCACGCACCGGAAAAGTCAGGGAAGGTTATGCCTGAAACGCCTGGCGAGAGATGCCCACGCAAAAGCCCCAAACCTGCCTGTTCTTCAAGGTCCAGTTGAGACTCCATCCCCCCAGTGAGGCTTCTCCCTTGTCCACCCTTGTCCACCCTTGCTGCAGCCTGAGCTCCTGTAGAGACCAGGGCAACTGCTTTGGCCGACCACTAGCCCCTCGCTGCTCGCTGGCTGCATCTGGCTTCATTCCCTTTAACTTTCTCTTTAATGTTTCTAGGTAGTGATTTGGATGAATTTTGTCAAAACGGTACACGCTTACTGTAAAAATGCAAGTGTCAACTGCGATTTGACCACCCAGAAATAGCCAATGTGAACAATTGCTGAAGGCATTTCTGACATATCTGTAGGTCTCAGTGGAGACAGGACGGTGGGTAGGTGGCGACAAACAGAAGTGATAACTGCAAAAGAGTGGGGTCTACGTCACATGGTTTTATCATGAAAACAGTACTTTTATCATACGTGTAACAGAAAAAAGAGAAAGAAAGGTGTATGTGGGGCCCCCTGGTGGTGCAAGGGGTTAAGTCTCAGCACTTGAAGCTGTCCACAGCCACTGCAGCTCAGGTTCCATCCCCCTCCAGGCAACTGACCCACAAGGTGGAGCAGACCCCTCCTGTCTCCCCCTGCTGTCTCCCTCAGCAGGGTATTTCAGTGGATCTGCCTGTTCCGGTCCCCTCTCTCTCTGGTGAGTCCTCTCACACCCCACACCTCTGGCCTGTACCCCAGTTCTTGTATGTATAAATCAATTTTTAAAAATCTTTTTTTTAATA